TGTGTGTGTGTGTGTCTGTTTTGTGTGTGTGTGTGTGTGTGTGTGTGCGTGTGTGTTTGTGTGTGTGTGTGTGTGTCTGTGTCTGTGTGTGTGTGTGAGTGTGTGTGTATGTGTGCATATATGTGTGTGTGTGTGTGTCTGTGTGTGTGGATTTTTTTTGTGTGAGTGTGAATCTGTGTGTATGTGTGTGTGTGTCTGTGATTGTGTGTATGTGTGTGTGTCTTTGTGTGTGTTTGTGTGTGTGTGTCTTTGTGTGTGTTTGCATGGGCACTGGGATTCTTCCATGTCAGCTAAAGTCATTTCTGTTTTGATATTAATGAGATAATATATAAATGTGCGGCGTCTTTGTGCAATTGGATGCTTGTGATAAATAATGAAATCTAAGAAACTAACATTTTTCAACGACAATTTTTAAAACTTACCTGGTGGGCGCTCGGGAAAATGTCACTTTCTTTGATTTCATTCTTTTTATGAAAGCCTGATTTCACCGCGATACCTCAAAAATGAACCCACAATCTCAGTCATATCTCTCAGTGCACGTAGTTGTAGGGCGCCTCTGGTAGGTCCTACCTCTTTTGTTTCCCTCTGTTGATTTTGATGTGGGTGGTTGGCAGGTGCTCTGGTATGGTTTGCTCCTTCTTTCCTGTCAAACATCTATAGTCCTTATCTCCCCTCCTTTTAATTTGTGTTTGTTACTCTCTTGTAACACCTCTAATCTTCGGCAATTATATGACCTTATTGTGTTGCAAGTGCCGTAAAACTCTTACTAAAACAAATGTTGAGTTTGATGATGTGTCTTGCTTCCTCCGTAAAACCTCTACTAAAACAAACAAACAAAATCAGACTAAATGACGGCCACTGTGTGGATGTACTCCTCTGTACTCAAACTCATTCTGCCCCTCCCCCCCCCCTCCCCCTGGACAGTGCTGGTGACTGAAATGTCTTTAGGCCATCCCCAAAGGGGGAGGATGTTAACATGTTTTTATGCACAGTGGAATTGTGAATGGGCTGATTTATCAATGTCGTGCTCATACTGTGCCGGTACAACATAGGGGAAACTGCTGCTTTTTCTTTCCTCATCCTTGCTATCGTAATTTTTCCTCTACTCCTTTTGTATGTTTTTCGCTCTCTTATGAACTGCTATTTCCAGGGTACCTTAATAGTTGAAGTTGACTTTTTGTTGATTAGGCTAGAGAGGTGGGCAGAGTAAGTCTGATTCCCCATTTGGACTTCTCTGTTGACCTCCACCCCTTGGCGCTCACATGACCTTATGCAGTTGTGAGCGCAGTAAAATCTTACTAAAACAAAACTCGAACTCCTTCCCCCAGACTGCAGCGGGTTCCAGTGTGAGAGATCGGGTGTGTGTCTGTGGGACCAGAACAGAAGGAAATGTGACGGCGTCTTTGACTGTGAGGACCTCAGTGACGAGAAAAATTGCCGTGAGTTTTGGAAAATACTGCATGTAAAGTCAAATCATCTGTATCAAGTTGTTCAAATTTACTAAGCCCCCAAATTGCAAAACTTTTCCAAATCAATAATAAGAGGTTTTATTTTTTTTTAAACAGTTTTGTCTAACTTCCGTATCTTGGTAATCATGCATAGGTCAAAATTCACTCACGTTTTGAGCTGTTTTGTAAAGTGCAGCCTTTAGAATAAAAATATAAAAAGTAAGTTAGAACTCTGGCCGAATTTTGCTTTTGTCTCTGTTAATATTCTGTAGAAATGGTATCTTACTGTGCTTTAGTTTAGTTTTAGTAAACATTTTACGGCACCAGGATTAAAAATAGGTAATGTAAGTGTGGAAGATTAGAGGTGTTACTAGAGAGTAACATACCAAATAAAAGTGATGGTGACAAAAGTGGTATAGGTTTAATGCCCCCACTATCAAGACTGTCAGGCAGGACCTCCGAGTTTAACTTCGGTCTCCGAAATGGCCGAGCCAAGTGGGAAATTCATGTAAAGTGCCTTTCCCGAGGACACAATGTCGGACGTCAAGAAAAAAGAAAAAAGAAAAAAGTGAGAGGGAGATAAAGACAATAGATGTTTATGATGTGTGATGATGTGTTTGTATGTTTTATTTCCGCAGCCAAGCGAGAGCGTCAGCGTTACTGCAACAACGGCGTTCAGATCAGCATCTACCAGTGGTGCGATGGGCTGGACGACTGTGGGGACAACTCTGATGAGCTCAACTGCAGTCAGTCGCATTTGTTGCCTCCCTTAGTTTAAAAAAAAGATTTTTAAGTTAAAGTTTTTCTTGGTGTTTTTATTTTGTTTTTTGTTGTTGTTTTTTTAGGTGTGTGTTATTTTCATCTTTGTTCTTAACTTATTTAGACATTTTTTTCTAACTGTTCTGCTATGGGTGGTTGGCGGATGCTTTGGTATGGATTGCTCCTTCTTTCTTGTCCAATATCCATTGTCACTCTCTCTCCTCCTTCTTCTCTTTGTTCTTTTTACTCAAGTAACACGTGTAATTTTCGGCAGTTTTATGTATTTACAAAGCTGTTCGACTCTCAATTGATGTAAAACTAAAGGAGCCCATCTTTATAAGGGCATGCTCTTTTTCTCTTCCTCTGGTGTTTCCTCCTTTACCTGGTAGAAGATAATTCATAGAAAGAAAATCTGATTCTCTTTCTCTGTCTGTCTGTCTGTCTGTCTGTTTGTCTGTCTTTCTTTCTTTCTCTCTCTCTCTCTCTCTCTCTCTCTCTCTCTCTC